GAATGGAGAACGAGTAGTTTTGCTGAAACTTAACAGATTATGACTTTGATTACGGTGATATATTTTCAGATCTATAGAGACGAAGTAATGTATCTGCGTCTATTAGTTTATTAGAATGTATAAAAACTTTGTTAAAAAAAAAAACTACTCTTACGGCCAAGGGAGGCTGGGGAGTTGCCTAAAATATGCGATAGAATTCACAGACCCCCTTCTTTGTTGAAGGCCTAGTAACCTAGTGAACTAATTACAGACGGCACTACATTTTCTCATGACATGACAATTGACAACATCCCTGAGCATCGCTGTGGCACTGATTACCGCGCGTAAGTGTTTTCGCGCCCCACGTCAGGCGAGACACGAAATAATGCACTGTTGTTGTGGATCGCCGCCACGAGTGACACCTCTCTGTTACTGTAAACCCTCTCTGATTCAACCTCTCAAAGACAATAACAATAGCAACAATCCCCGACTGGATATTCAAAACTTTGCGTTGGGGTTAAGAATACGTAAATCACAGCAATTACATCATTTGTAGGTAGATCTAAATACAAGTCTAGTAACATACTGGCTTTAGGCCTTCCGTACTGATTTTGATGGCCATGGAATTCAAGTAGTTCCGAGTGGTCGCTCGTTAAGGAAGTCCTCCCCCGGTATCAAACGCGAGAAAGTAAACAGTAAACAATTCTAGAGTCACCCCCTTTTAAACGCAATTACCACAAAATTATTTATACATGTATGTTTTGCTAAAGTTCTTCACATGTGTCACTGCAAAGAAGGTTTTCTCTTTCTTTCTTTCTTTCTTTCTTACTAAAAATATTTCTTTTTAAATCTTTTTTTGTTTTTGTATTAAAATTATGAGCATCAAAAATCTTTGTCATGTCATAAAACGTCCCAATTTGACATACCTGTATTTGTACATTCAAAGCACTGGCTGTTAGGGAATCAGCACAGTCTACGACGTCCATCTTGCTCTTGTTATCAAGATGCAGTAGGCCTACACCGATATTTGTTTTCAGTATCACGATACCAATTATCTGAAAATGGCAGTGCAAAGAGAGTTTGGGCTTTTTTTAAAACGCTGCAATGATCTTTTTTTAAATAATAAAGGCTATAATGGTAAAGGAACCACAATACGTTAGATCAAAAATAGTACATGCTTTGCTATGTAGACTCTTTGGTTAGATCAAGGAGCCGTTTAATGCCAGTGCTTAATGTTTATATAGATGGCATCTTGTTTGAGGGAATTCCCTGTAGATCTAAAGAATTCAACTTAAAAGTGGGCATTCAAACTTTAAAGTTTAACTGGTACTCATGATTTTCTGTGGCATTCGAAGAGATACAAAGTTTAAAGTTAAAGTCTCACAATACTAGTCGTCTTCCCAACCCTGTTATAAGGTGCTGAGTGCTGAGACCTGGATTGTGTACTAAAACTGTGTCAAGAATTATATCATAATGAATGCGTCATGGATATAAATTCTTTAGATTAATATCTACTTTTGAATTACAAAATTCTATCTGTCATTTAAGCCGCTAATTCTGGGTTACGAAGACCATGAGGTAAGACAGCAATAAACGTCGTTCTATCTGCTCTATCAAAATCGTTACAATATTGGGGTCTTTATTTTAAAAATAATAAATATCAACCTGTAATAATTATAGGCCTACTGAATAGAGGGGCAGAAATCTTTTAAGTAATAACCTATTGGTTGTCATGATTTGGCCTCTTGTCTGTTTTGTAACTCTTCTGAATAAAGATCAGTTCCGGTGTTCCCTTGATGGCAGTCTCCGTATCTTCAAAGAGCTGTGTGAGGAGGCTCTCAAGCCCAGAGGTCAAAAGTCCCGGATTCGAATCCGGGTAGCGACGGAAAAAAATTTTCTTCTCTAAAATCGTCTCCTTTCACCTCCTTTCCTGCTCTCTGGCAACAATGTTACTGTCGTCTGCTTTCGTCTTCACTTTCTGCCCCCACTGCCTCACCTCCTTTGCCCCCCTACTCGAATCTGGGGCTCCTGACTCTTTTTTAAGCCTTCCTACTGCTACTCCTTGGCCCCTTCTTACAGCTGTCTTTCAGCCACACCCATGATCTTCTGAACTACACCTAGCCTTTTCGGACTAGAGTGAAAAATCTCGGGGGTCCCGTGTGCAAATTGCGCAAGTTAAAGATCCCTTGGTGGTCTAAAATCGAAATGAGTAGGCTTCGGCCGTCATCCAGGCAAAATTCAAAATTTCCTACCAACTGAATGTTTAATGTGTTCCGCGCGCTCATATGACCCCAGCAGTTGCGAGCGCCGGGTAAAACACATACCCCCCCCCCCCCCCCCCTAAAAAAAGACCTGTGTGCTTGAAATAGACAATCAAAGTCAATATATTACAGTTATCAAGATATTCAAAGAATTGCATTCGAAAAAGTTTGGCATAGATCTAATAATATTTTCTGTTGTGCTAAAACTCAACATTTTTAACGTCAAATTTCTCAAACTTAAGTACTGAACAGAAAGAATTTTGTAATTCTAGGGTAGGGGTAGCAAAATGGCAAGGCGATACCAGACAGAGAGGCGCTGAAGTTCTCAAAAGGACACATTTTAATGATGAGGGTCTGTTTTCTGAGCTCAGAGGGGCTCATAATGTATGCATGGCGCAGATCCTTGGCGCGACTGGAATTTCGTTCACCGTGTGTCTTCCAACATTTTAATGGTTGATGGGAACCCGTCATCCGTCAATGCCCGAGGGTATCTTTTTTTTTCTCTTTTTTTTTGGAAGGAGGAGGGAGTAGACTCTGGTTTCTCTATCAGTTACGTCAACAGTTAAGTCCAGTTGTTTGTCAACATGACCTCGAACAACAGCTCCGAGCTCCCATATGTCGTCAGACACTATACATTACATTGTCTCTTATCACCGCGAAGCCTTCGTACTTGACCATCTCTTCTGCACTCGTTCAACAATAATAGGGGCTTTTGTAGACACTTGTACAGGCCATCCTTTATGCCTAGCAAATCCGCTATTTGCAGGTAATGATCCTCGCCTCTTATAATTAGGCCTATGTCGCGTGAATTCGGGTTATTTTTGAGTAAACCACCGGCATAGTATAATATCATGTATTATCTACAGGGTGATCCCCCCCCCCAAAAAAAAACCCACAAAAAAAACGGTACAACTTTTTTTGGGTTATATTTTCCTCCGCACTGAAGTTTTGAGTTTCAAATTTGTAAACAACATTCGGAAGTTAAAAGGAATTTGTCTAAGATTCGTTTTAGATAAATCCACAGAATAGTTTTGCTCTACATAGCGCGTAAAGAAACCCAACTCATTTTCAGCTCTATTAATATTATGTTCCCATTTTTGTAGCATGACGTTCTAGTTCGCATTAGGCCTACAACTAAAACACCCAATGATGGCGCCATATTTCAAACCACTGTAGCCTAACATGCCAACAAAAGTTTGCAGTCTAAAGTTTTTCTTAAGTTTCCTTTGCCTGCTGAGATCATGGTTAAGATAAGTAGAGCAGAAAGCTTTTTGTATTGAACATTTCCTAACCACCAATCCGTTTCGTAAGTTTCACACAAGGTACGAAAATCTGTATTAAAGTGTCCTGAAGGCCTTCTTTGGTGTCAATGGTGAAAATGGTCCACCAGTTAGGACCTGCAGAGATTTAGATATAAAAATTCCCAAACAAAACTACTACATGTACTTTAGGTAACCCACCCCTTAAAACGTCACCAGAATGCAGAATTCAGTAGATGTGCCCCATGAGACGTCTGTTCGTAGACGGTGTCTGAAGCAATGACTTTCCTACATCTCAAAGGTCCGCCATTCTCAATGCAGATCTTCATCTACGACTGTACCAATATTCTCGTTCGCGTAGCTATCAGGGGGTAGCAACGTGTTCATGATTCCTCGATCGTCTTGAAAAGCGTGAACATATTATTATTTTGCTCTATGACATTTGGTTCCTTGCAAAGCCCATAATTCATCTTTCTGGTTATATCAACTCCACATGCTGTCTATTTGGGCGACCTCACCACCCCCTCCCCAATTGTCTCTAGAAACAGCTCCATACTGTAACTGTAATGTAAACAGTGTGTGTAGCTTTGAGTACTCACAGGGGCGGCTGGTGGTTTGTAGAACTTACTGGCTGTAATTCCCATCGATACCTCCTCTTCTCCTCCCCCCTTCTCCGCCCCCCGCCTCAGAACTTCACCCCTACAACACACAGACAGACAGACCGACATACAGACAGACGGACATACAGACAGATAGACAGACAGACGGGCGGATGGACAGACGGTCAATTTTATACTTACCTGTACACTATAGGTATTTTGTGCGTGTGTGGGGGGAGGGGGGTGGATGGGTAGGTGAGAGAGAGAGAGAGAGAGAGAGAGAGAGAGAGAGAGAGAGAGAGAGAGAGAGAGAGAGAGAGAGAGAGAGCGAGAGAGATAAGGGGGGGGGGGGGGTTAATATATAAAAAAGGTTTACGACTCGTACTAGATCTAGATGAAAATCCATGGCGTTACAAACTTCAAAGTAAATCTGAGCTTCAAGACATTGACTGAACTTGAGGCCAATAAAATATGGATAGATCTGACTTGATCGGCACGGAACAAGAAATACTTCTAGAAGCAACCACTTCTTAGCCCTGCCCCTAGCATAATGTGCGGCTGGGCCTCCGATCCACCCCCCCCCCCCCCCCAAACCACGCGCCTTGCCCTGTCTAAGACGGAAAATGTCAAAGACGAAATTTTATCTAGCTCCCTTGCGATTGTCTTACTACAGTAGGTCCTACAGATTCGACAGTGATGAATTGTTAATTAAGCCTATAATTTAGTCTTCAATGAGAAGGCCCAACCAGTGCAGTTGCTTGAAGTTGTCTTTAGTAGGCCTTGGCCACTCCTAAAGGGGGGATTAACATGTTATTCTTCATGCAGTATGCATAGGGTGCGGTGGGAGAGCGGCATAGTGCGCTCATAATGACTTGCAGTTGTGAGCCCTGTAAAACCTTACTAAAACAAACACTGTGCAGTTTCGCAGACATTGGAAAAAAAAAATTAAATGCATCGGCCGGGAATCGAACCCGGGTCACCCGCGTGGCAGGCGAGTATTCTACCACTAGACCACCGATGCTCCTGAAGATTGGGAAGTAACAAAAATTATAAAGGTTATAAGATAAATCTGATATTGAAAGTATTGGCTTAAAAATAAGGATTTCCTGTTTACGTTTTAGTTTCGGAATCGAAACGAATTATTTCCATATCCTCTCCTCACCTCTCCTGCGTTGCATTGCATCAAGCCAACGTTGTTGCCGACTGGGTAATAGTCTCAGGCCTTCGGCTCCCTAGCAGACCTGTTAGTTTTAAGCCCTGAGAATCTAGATCTAGATCTACTAGAAAATGGAGCCCATCAAGACCACACAAATCACAAGTATCTGGACATACCTTGAAACGGTAACTAATTTAGGCTAGGCAAGGCTACTCTAGGCTAACGGAATCCGCAAGCTAATTTTTGGGTGCTTTTGTTTTCGGTAGTTCCCACCCCCTTATTTAATTAAACTTATTTGAGCTTAGATCCTAGATCTAGAATATGATAGGTGCAAGAAAGTTGTTAGTAGACCATTTAAAGGTTAGCTAAAATCATTTGAACATTTCTTTATCAAATTATGATGAAAACAATTATCATTTTATATTCTTTTGTCTTCATTAATAACAGAGGGTACAGAGACAAGTGGTCGCGGGTTGGGCCAGCTACTCTAGTTTAGTAACTGAAGAAAACTTAAGAATGTTTCTGATAAGCCTTTCACTTCAAACACGACTGCTGCACTAGCAGACGACTGAAGTTCTCGGAAAAGGATTGACCAAAAGTGGAACTTAAGTTAGACAAGGGCGACAAGGCACGTAACTCTAATAAAGCAGATTGCACACGAGCTGCACAGAAGGAAAAATGGCATGGGGAATGGTCGCGCTCAGGGCACGGTCGTGCCAAGGACGGATGTCTCTATTTCTCCAAACGGTTTCCGTTCTCGAGAATTTTTGATGGAGTGGCCCGTGTGTGTCTGTGTGTGAAGGTAGAGAGGTGTTCGAGTAACGAGTCCAGACTTGAGTACTCGAGTAATATACATGCGGCGAGTCCAGACTCGAGTCACAAGTAAATTACTCGAGTAAGGACTCGAGTCTGTAGGGGAAAAAAAAAGAAAATTAGGAGAAAAATTTGTTCTTTTTTTAAAGTTAAGAATTGATAAAAGAGAAATTCTAATAAGCAATTTTTAAAAACTGATTAAAAAAACCCAACTAAAACAAAAACACCACCCCTCAAAAAAAAGGAAAAAATCACCCCCCCTCCCCCTCCATTCCGGAGCCCTATATATACTTCGAAGCGCACAGTTTTCTAGCAGTACCTTTTGAAGGTATTTTCAAATGAAGTATAGTCTGGGAACGTTGCCCCAACAACTGAAGTAGCCTTAAATATTCAGACATTTAAAAATCTCTAGATCTAGAGATATATATAAATATATCTAGAATCTAGATTGAATTCGATGCAAAAAATGCTTCTTCGCAGTCCTGGCCGAATGAAAGACCATATAATGCCTAAATCTCGCAAATGACCAAAAAATCTCGAGATCGGAAACTGTTCGGAGAAATAGAGTTCAACTTTACTTTTCCGAACACTCCGAGAAATAGTCACTTCGATATTTTTTGGGTCAGGGGCTGCGCCCCCCTGAAACCCCCCCTACTCTTGAGGCCAAAACTGACGAATAACAATTATTGCGGGGTGGGAAATACAGAAAAAGCGCCAATTTTTGTTAGTGGATAGAGATCTCTAGCCTTATAACCGAAACAAGCGGATAGTTAGAGAATGTTAAGAGTACGCCATTGGCCAATATTTATAGTTCAGCCTTCTTGTTTGACCCAATGATTATAAAACATGATAAAGCAATGGTGCGAAAAGCGTGCGAGCTCACGAAACTCCTGGGGGAGATTATCTTCGCGTCAACCGACGGTCAACCGCTGACTTGCTTCCTTTCAGGGCGCACCTGGTGCGGTTGGCGCAGCTCGTTGTTCCATTGTTAGAGACCATTAAAAGCTTTAAATATGTTGGTTTGAAGGTGATAGCTTGCTTGTGGCCAAGGTTAGGTCCATACAACCAGACGGTTTTAGAACACTTAAGTCTCACCCCCGAAAAGCTTTTTTTTTCATCACGAGGGTGAAGATAAAATCAGTCCTCTTTGATCCTCCACATTTAATTAATTAGAAACAATTTGTGAGTCTACCACAATTTCTGTGGGCCTACTCATCATGATGATACTGCGAGCTGGGCAGTTATAGAAAATTTACATGACATGAAAAAGATATGCCTTAGGTTTATTTAGTGTGGCACCAAAGTTAACCAACTGTGTATCAAGTTTTGGACAACAAAGGGTTTGTTTGGCTGTGCACGTGCTTAGTCGCAGTGTATCAAAAGCAATTTTAAATTGGGACACTCATATGTATCATCAAGAGCTTCTTCTAAAACTTCAAGTGCGTTGTTGGAAACAGTTCCACTGCTTTTGAGGTAAAGACAGGAGTTAGACAAGGATGCAACACACATGTCAGCAATTCTGTTCAACCTGGCCATTGACTGGGTAATGAGGAAAACTACAGAGGATACATCGAGAGGCATAAGGTGGACCCTCCTCTCCACCCTCGAGGATCTTGACTTTGCCGACGACCTTGCACTACTCCCCCATACCAACCAGCACATGGAGGAAAAAACAAACCGACTCCACAAATACGGACGCCAGATTGGGTTAAGAATAAGCCAGAAGGAGACAGAAGTGATGACACTGAATGTAGGCTCCCCAACGCTGATATGGGTGAACAACACAGACCTGCCTATAACAGACACAATTACCTAACTAGGCAGCATAAACAAAACTGACAGCGCCGCAAAGGAAGACATCATGAACAGACTCAGCAAGGCAAGATCTCTGTACACAGAAGCATGATCAACATCTGGAAGTCAGGACAGTTTAGTATACAAACCAAGTTAAAGCTGTATAACAGCTGTGTACTTATCTACACTCCTATATGGAGCTGAATGCTGGAGGATGACTTATCATGACCGTCCCAAGCTATCTTCCTTTCATACAACCAGCTTATGCCAAATCCTTAGAATCTTCTGGCCCGACAAGATATCCAATGCAGATCTGTTACATAAATGTAGGCAAGAGGACATGACCACCATAATGAAAAGGAGAAGATGGAGATGGATGGGACCGGGACATGTTCTGAGAAGAGAACCAGACTCTATGGTGAAGTCTGGACACCCGAAGGACGTTGCAAAAGGAGCAGACCCAAAGTGACCTGGAGACGTACAGTAGAGTCTGAAATAAATCCTGGAATCATTCGTGGGGAACGCTGACCAAGATTGCCCAAAACAGACAGAGCTGGAGATCCTTTGTTGCTGCCCTTAACGCCAGATGGGGTAATGGGTAGTCAGTAAGTAAGTAAGCACTTAAAAATGAAATTTCTGACGTAAGTGGATACCCTTTGAAGAAACTTTACGATGTAGTCCGCAAGGACTGTACAGGGATATATTGGAAGATTCCTCATCTTCCCATGCTAGGCACCTGACACTCATCAGCCAGAACCAGTTAGAACATTGTCGTCACGGTGGCTTGAAAAAGCCAGTTTTAAACTTGTGGAATTTGTTGGTGTGTTTGAAGCTGGGTTTTTAAAAACGTATGTTAAACCTTTAAAGAATAGAGCGCACAGTAGCATAGACAGAATCTAAAGTTGAAAATGCTCCAGGAGCCAAACGTAATTGAATTTATACAAAGGTGATTCCTACAAATGCAACACAGTCGACTATGAGTCAGTGTATTTATTAATGTCAGACTGCTCGATGATCTTTACAGTGCAGTCAAAAATTCGTGGCGCAACTTGTTCTTAGACATCTCTTTAACGGGTGAATCAATGTAACATAAACTTTGCACAGCAGTTTGTATCAATTTATCTTAACGTATTCATATTTTTCCACAACAATTGAGGCTAGATTAAAAAACATATCTTCATGAATTTATATAAAATACTAAAATGGGGTCAACTAGTCACTCCACAGCCTGTGTTATAGTACCACTGCGTGTGTTGTGTGAGCTCATTAATGCACAGAGCAATGCGTGCAGTCGCTGACCTCGATTCTCCGATAGTGCACAAAGGCCGAAGAAGGATTGCACTCTCTCGGTATTTACGGTCTCTGGTTTGACCTATTCTTTACGAAGTGACTATTTCTCCGAACGCTTGGGATGATAAACTTGATTTCTTCAAATGGTTTCCGTTCTCGAGTTTTGTTGGTTATTCATTTGCGCGAGTTCGGCGGCGTCTTTCATTCTGCCATTCCGCGAGGACTGGGAAGAAGCATTTTTTGTTGCATCGAATTCACTTGCTAGAGTTAGATCTAGATCTAGATGTTTATAATCTAGATCTAGAAATTTTTAGCCTAAGTATCTGAATATTCCGATACTTCAATTGTAGTTGGGGCAACGTTCCCGGACCAGGCCTATATAGTACTTCAATTGTAAATTGTGGCCTATGCCTTTAAAAGGTAGGCTACTGCGAGAAAAGGAAGACTGCTCGACTTCAGCAGTAACCTATTTTGATAGTCATCCCTAAAGCAAAAACTAAATAAAAAAAAAAAAATCCCCCCCCCCCCTCCTACCATTCACACCATACACACACACACACACACACACACACACACACACACACACACACACACACACACACACACACACACACACACACACACACGGCACACCCATACACACACACTCTCAAACACAGACATGCACACTCACACAGCACACATACACATGGGCCACTCCATTCACAAAGAACCAAAAAGTCTCGAGAATGGAAACAGATGGCATGAACAACTTGCAAGAAGACAGACAATAGGAAGGAATGGGGTAACATGATCGTCAATGTCTGTTCCAGACCTGACACCTGAAGAAGGAGAAGACAGTATGCATATTCTCTCACTTTGATCCGAATTCACAACTGGATGGGCAGGTCTAGTTGAAATTTGAAATGCCAATGAGTCCCCCCACCCCCACCCCCCTTTATCAGACTTACTGCAGTGAGGAGTTATTGACTGTTGATCGTAACTAAGATGGCTGACATTGAGAAAGATGTGACGCTGTGACTATTGTAAAAGCAGTGAAGTTCTGTCCGTCTGATCACCTACCTAATTCTCATGAAGGGTCTTATTTCCTTTGACAGGTGGATTGGTCAGATCCTTGGTTCAGTGGACTGTTAGCTTTTCATCTCTTCACATTCTTGGTCACTTTCCTCACAAGGAACAAACAGATGCTGCAAGCAGCGCATTTCTTGGTCCTGTGTAAGTGTATTGTATTGCAAGCGTAATATGTTATCTTTCTTTAAAGCAGTGGAAGGTATATTTTTGCCAGACAATGCTGCTCCTCTTAGTACTCATTCATTTTCTTCAATTGATGAACTGGTGAATGTCTTCTTATTGAGTTCGGTGAAATGAATGAAGACATTTGATAAGTTTTATCAAAAGATGAAGCTTTGGGGCTTTGTAATTGTGGACAGACAAATTTATGGGTGGTTTGTTATTATGATAGTTGTGGTAATATGTGTGTGTGCCTAAAGCTGTCCCCATCGTTTTATGCAAGAAAAATTCTGAAATTATGCAAACTGAGCCCAAAAACGTAAAATTATCCGATTCTGTTAATGTTAACAAAGAATGATGAAGGAAAATAATCAGAAATTATGCAAAAAATGATAAAATTCTGCTAAATTATGCGGGGTGCATAAAACCCCGGAGACAGCTAAAGAAAGGTACCAAAAGTTGGATTTTGACCATTTTGAGTTAAGGGTTGCACCTTAAAGGAAATTCAAAGCTGAACACAGGGGTTATTGAACTTTTTAGATACCTCAAGCAGTTTTTGAGATATTGCACATTTTGCCAGGTAGGCTATAAAAATATAATTTTGAGAAAATGAGCTTTAAGGTAAACAAACGTGAGTACACATACACATTTTTTTTTTTAACCTGATTTTTTAAATGTATTTATTCATGGAAAATTCATTTCCATATTGCATTCAGTTGACATCAATATCATGAATGGAATTCAATAGTAAAACTTAGCAGGGGAGAGAAAACGTGCTTCAACAATAGATTTTAATACCTTTTAAAAGCAGTTTTCATTATACCTTTCGCTCAAAATAATTCAAAATAAAACATTTAGAAGTCAAATCAATGAAAACCCTTGGAGCACATTGTAAAAAAATGTTGGATCTACCCTTTTTTTAAATGGAAACACATTTTGGTCAAAAGAGTGATATTTGTCATAATCAGCCTGTAGCTCGAAGCGGTCTGGGGCGACTTTTGGTACCTTTCTCTTGGCGCACGCACAAGTAATGTTATTGCTTTACTGTTCTTTTAAGTAAAGAATAGGTGACATAAATATATGGAAAATTCTTCTGACAGCTAATGTTTCTCCTTTTCTTTCATTTTTCATAAATAAAGTGCTGCTGGTTTACTTTGCTGAAACCCTGAATGAATTGGCTGCCAAACATTATAAGTAAGTACATGCTGAGAAGTATTTTGAGGTCTTTTCAGTTTTCAATCTGACTCAAGTACTGTTGATATACTTTTTTCCACATCTCAATGTTGAGTTTGAAGTCATTTCTTGAATAATTTTGTTTCTTTTTGCTTTGTAGATTACAGGTGTGATTTTAACTTTTTACTGCTTTGAGATATTTTGGGCCAAAAGGTGCTGTAACTGATGATTTTATGCTGCTTTTATTTAGGGTATTTTTTGTCTTTAACTGGCTACTGCTTGTGAATCAAATGATAATCTTTTTCCATTTAAGGGGGCTCGATTCTTACGGGACATTTTTAACTAAAGACCAACTGAATCAACTTTTGTCACAGGCACAAAGCATGAGACAAAAGATTCATGTTCAACTGTTGACACACTCGATTTACGTAAGCCACTGCCATGGAAACGGCGGCTATCTTGAAAATTGGAGATAACATTTTATTTTTTCCCTCCATTTCTATAGTTTTTAACTTTTTAAAATTCTGTAACTTGCAAAATGTAATAAATAAATAGGTGCTTTCTGCTGGCTATTTGGATTTTTAATACTATACTTAGAAAGTATACAAAATTGTTCTCAAAGTTGGGGATAAGGGGTTTTCGTGGCCTAGAGGTTAAGGTATTGGCCTCTCATTGAACGGTCCTGGGTTCGAATCCGGGTAGCGACCGAAAAATTTTCTTCTCTGAAAGTCTCCTTTCACCTCCTTTCCTTCTCTCTAGCAATGTTCTGTCGTCTGCTTTCGTCTTCTCTTTCTGTCCCCCACCCCCACACCTCCTTTGTCCCCTCCTCTGGGCTCCTCACACTTTCTGCAGCATTTGTGCTGCTACTCTTTGGCTCCTTATTGCTGTCTTTCAGCCTCACCCCTGATCTTGTGGTAGGAAAGGTCTACACCTAGCCTTCTCGGAAAAGGACGAAAAATCTCGGAGGGCCTGTGTGCAAGTTGCGCTCATTAAAAATCCCTTGGTGGTCTAAAATCGATAAGAGTAGGCTTCGGCTGCCACCCAGGCAAATTCAAAATTTCCTACCAACTGAAAATGTTAGGTGTATCCCATGCGCTCATATGGCCTTATGCAGTTGCGAGCGCCGTAAAACACTTCCAAAAAAAAAAAAAAAAGTTGGGGATCTGGAATTTGTTCTTTTAAAGAATATTTTTGGCCTGAAAAAAAATTTGTTAAAAAATTCTAAAGCAAAATGTGTAAATCACTAACCAGCCCACTACAAGTACAAACCATTTCTCTGACTACATGCCAAATTTCAAATCTCGGTGTTGGAAAATTTTAAAAATGTTGGAGATTTAAAAAACGGCAAGCGAAAAGTAGTGAAAAAGTATGTTTTGAGAAAATCCAAAAGCATAGAAAATGTTAGTACACAACGTAGAAACAATAACATTGAATTCTGTTAATGTTAATCACTCAACGATCAGTGTCAATAAAATCTCAACTGAGTAAGGGACTGGAAAATACCAAAGTAAAAAGTTCTCAAAGTGAGTGAAAATCAGTCTCTGAGGCCCTAGACCCGACCCGCGAGCCCCTCTAAAAAACAACAATTTTGATATCGGAATGTGGCTACCGTACCTGATGGTAAGGGCCTTACGAAATAAGATAAATGGTCACGTTTGTAAAAATCAGTTGCGCTGCAGGTTGAAGAACAAGCAGTCAGCTACCCCTTAGATCTTACAGGGGAAGGCAAAGAAAGACAAAGAAGAAGAAATACGTATTCTTTACTTTTTGTATTCAATGCGGTTTGTCACAGTGCCTTTCTCATCACATACTTTTCTGTTTCTGCAGGGTTTTCTCTCGCCAGCAATATTTTGACAGCAAAGGAATGTTTATTTCTCTGGTGTGGTCAGCCCCTCTTCTCATGAACTGCCTTATCATTGTGGTAAGCCCTCCCCTTTCCGCTGCCCCGAGACATGTCTTGTGAGTCGTCTTGATCCAAACTTTGTTTGGTTTTTGTCCCTGTTTGTCTTCATGACTGTTGTCTGCCTGTCTTGTGCTTCCCAGAATAATGCTGAATTTTTGCACCTTGATTTTCTGTTATGTCTTTCCACCTAAAGTTTCCCTCATGACTCATGGTGAAACTGCTCAAGAAACTAAAAGGAGACACAAACGGACTGATCAAAACAGAAAACGACCTTGCAAGATAAACAGACAATGAACAAGAAGTAAGGAAAGGATTGGGACCTGGAACTTGTGCAGCTTGACAAACAAAGAACCTGAGATAGTGGAGTTCATGACCCAGAGCAAGATCTCCTTCATAGGCATTACTGTTACAGAGATCAGGCAAAAAGGAACAGGTACAAAAGAGATCCATTCCAACTTTGTCCTCATTTGGAGCGGGGTAAAAAAAGAGCAAAGAGCTGAACATGGTGTGAGTTTCATCATACACTCTGACAAAGCAAAGGAATTAATCAGTACAGAGTTCATTTCAGAAAGACTTATCAAAATCAGCATTAGAGAGGGCAAAAAGACCATAAACTACATTCAAGTGTATGCACTGTGCAAGGACTCCTACTCAGACGAAGAAAAGACTCTTTCCTCTTTCTTTAAAGAACTCTCGCAATTAATCAGCAGCATCCCAGTCAAGGAAGACCTTTATGTAATGGGAGACTTCAACGGAAGATTCGGAGAGAGAAGAACACGGTAGACAAGACACCTGGGCCCACACAGTGACCACAGAACACCAGTTAATTATAACGGCAACCATGTATTGGAACTGTGTGCTGAGCACGACTTATTCATCACCAACACCTTCTTCCAGCACAGAGCCTCTCAGATCTATACCTGGTACAGATGGAACAACATCAGGGTCTCATCACGGATCGACTTCATATTAGCGAGATCTCGAATGCGGATCACAATCACAGACTCAAGAACAATCCCCAACGCAGGCCTGGACACAGACCACAGGCCAGTCATCATCAAGAAAGACAAAAAAAACCCTGCAAACTGTAAAAGACAGCAAGAGAGACTAAATATGCTTCGGAGGTGATCAGGTACAGACTCAGATCAGATACACCCTTAATGAAAGGCTAGTCTCTATCAACTCTACAATACTTACCGTAGAAGAAGCTTGGGACACCTTCAAAACAGCTCACCCGGACACTCTGAAAGAAGTCTGTGGTTCCAAGGAGACAAAAGGAAGACACAGAAAGGCAACAGTCTGGTGGTCAAAGAAGTTAAGGATGCTATCAAGGAAAAAAAAGATACTGTACACTATCTGGGTCAAGTCAAAGAACGAAGAAGGCTACATTAAGTATAGACTTGCAAGAAGACACGGCAAGAAAGTTGTTATAACATGAAAAGAAAAGCCATGGACCCAGTGTGGTGAAAAGCTAAGTGAAACCAGCAAAACATCATCAAGAGAGTTGTACAGGAAGATGAAGCCGATGAGAGTGAGAGACAAACCCTATGTGCCTACCACTATCATCAACGATACCAATAAAGAAGCTCTACATGAAGAGAAGGAAATAATAAAGAGATGGAAAGAATATTTTCTGGAACTACAGAACCCATCAGGACCACAGGCACAAAACACATTGTGCCCCTTCATCGCCAGGTTCCCAGAGCTCTCAGAACCTACCATCCTGAAGAGTGAAGCGAGAGAAGCATTGAAAACTAGTCCTAAGAACGAGGCAGCTGGAGACGATGGCATCACAACCGAAGCCATCCTTGCATGCGGCGAAACCGGAATACATTGGCTTACAATCATCTTCCAGAAAGCTTGGAAAGAGAGAAAAGTGCCAGCAGACTGGCAAAATGCGATAGTGGTGCCAATATGGAAGAAAAAGGGCAGCAAGAAAGACTGCAAGAACACGTACAGAGGCATATCTCTCAGCTATACGGGGAAAATGTATGCAAAGATCCTAGAGCAATTCACTCTAGCAAAAACCAAACATTTTCTCAGTGATGCCCAGTTTGGTTTTAGAAAAGGAAGAGGGTGCACTGATGCAATCTTTGCACTCCCGACAACTGTGTGAGAGGGCATTAGAATACAACCAAGTTCCGAGTCTCATATTCGAGGATCAGGGAAAAGCTTTTGATCGAGTAAATAAAAACAAGCTATAGAAGATCCTTGAGCAGTATGACATCAAGGGACAACTGCTAGACAACATCAGGGCTATCTATGTCAACAGCAGAAGCGGAGTCTGCACTACCAGTGGAACATGAAACTGGTTTCCAGTAACATCTGAAGTCAGGCAGGGCTGCAATCTCTTCCCTCTGCTCTTCGTGATCTACATAAAGGAGGCCAATCCAGACCCAGAGGCACTCTATGAACTTGTGTTTGCACACGACCTGGAATGATGAACAACAAAACTCAACTACAGGAGCATATGAACCAACTAAATGCGAGCTGCGAGAAATATGACATGAGGATCAGTGTTAGCATGACCAAGGTCATGACAGTTACCACGAGACAACACAAAGTGAATAACAGCATCAATGAATCCCAACTAAAACAAGCCAGTGAATTCAAATACTTGGGCAGCATTTTCCCAGAAAGTGGCAAATTAGACCGAGAAATAGAGACTATATGTCAGAAAGCCAATGCAATCAGCTATAATCTATTCGCCCCTCTCCTGAAACATCCCGATGTCCCCATGAGCACCAAGGCGAAGCTCACACCATTTTTTTACCAACATTCACATGTCAGTGCAAGACATGGTCCCTAACAAAAGCCCTAGAGAGGAAGCTGGTCACATGCGAAATGAAAAGTCTAAGAAGAGCGTTAAACAAGACAAGACGAGACAAAATAAAAAAAAATTTAATCATTAAGAGACATAGTAGGAGCAACACCAATCCTACCACACATTGAAAAACAAAAGATCAAGTGGTTCGGACACCTCACATGGATGCCTTGAAACCAACCAGCTCTGAGGACACAAAACATCATAATTCTGGCTTGAGAGCCAGAGGAAGACCAAGATGACACTGGAGCGAATCTGTGGCAGACGCCCTCAGAGCTCATGGGATGTCCCTCCTACAGGCCACTCGTCTTGCTGCAGACAGACCCTTGTGTTTCCCCACGGCACCCACTGGTACAAGCGGAAGAAAAAAGTAAAAGTAAAGTGACATAAGTAAGTCTTTTTTCAAACCACTTCAGCAAGTGTTCTTTTCTCATTTTAAATAAGTCAGATTTACCTAGGTTCGGTAGGGTGTTAATTAATGTATGAATATTAATACATTTGTAGGTCTTACTTCTTTTCCCCCTATTGTTTCTGTATCTGTCTTTCTATCTTGCTTTTACCCATTAGGAAATGGCCAGTGTCATGCCGATGTGCTTCTATTCTCAGTACTCAAAACATCAGACTTAACTCTTCCTGCCCCCCTGTATCTTTTGACAATATTATTTGTATTGAAGCTCTTCTCTTCTTTGCACCGAGTGAAATGAACTAAGTTTATTTTGTCTTTCCCCAGATGATGTGGATTCTGTTCTCATCTCAGCTCATGGTGACCACAGGCAGACTGAGGCTGGAACAGGAGAGGAAGGCTCTAGAGAGAAGAGAGAAAGAGAAGGCAGCTGGAGGAGGAGGAGGAGGAAACATGAAAAAAGATCAATAAAAGGAGATCGATATAATTCCAATGGGAGTGCATTGTTGTTTTGTCTGTGTAAAGGAAAGGATGATGTGTTCTGAGACGAGTTTTGATTTTGTAACACTTCTTGTGCCTGGGTTGAGACTAAAGTCTACTGTGGGGCAATCTGTACACAGTTATGTGTATATATATGTCCTGCCATACCTCATTCTCCACTCCAGATTTTAGCTGTTGAATGACTGATATAAAGACATAAACACTGACCAAAATGGTTAAATATATAAATTGGTTTCATTCCAAAAAATGTATCTTTTTTTTTGGTCAAAAATTCACATTAGCAATCATGTTAAATTTTCAATAGTGAGGGTTATTATTTTAACTTGTTGTGTGACTTGAACTGTGTTGGAGAGTTGTACTCTGTTACTGTAACTGTGAACAATTACTGTAACTTGTCCTTGTGGGGTTTTTCATTGATGGGGAAATCTTTATCATTTTGTTTGTGTGAACCTGCCAAAATTTGAAAGTCTGTTCATGTTCTGTGAGGTTATTTTTGTTTTTTGTTTTCTTTTTTTATTTTATTTTTATCGAGTAAGTGGAATGAGCTTTGCTGTGACTTTTGCATTCCTGATCTCACTTTTTTCCTTCTGTTGTGTGCATATATATATCTGTATGGAGGGAGTTTCTTTCCCTCCCTCTCTCTCTCCCTCTCTCTCTCTCCTTCTCTCCCTCACTTTCTCTCTCTCTCTCTCTCTCTCTCTCTCTCTCTCTCTCTCTCTCTCTCTCTCTCTCTCTCTCTCTCTCTCTCTCTCTCTCTCTCTCTCTCTCACATTTGATTTTCTCCGCCCATGTCATCATGCTACCCACTGATCCTGGGTTTTTTTTATTTAATAAACTGTAATCTGTATGATATTGTCATCAGCAAGCTGTTCAAATAATTGTGGGGCAGCGTGGTGGAATAAGGCTCTCGTCAAAATAGTCAAAGTGAAGAAACTATGATTTTTCCGCAAGTTTGTGAATTTTTTTCATTTTTTTTTTTTTTTGGCTCAACACCTTTCATGCCCATCAAAGAACTCATATTTGTGTGGGTTTTTCTGAAAAACGTTGATTAAAGGCACAAAAAATGTAAATTTTCAGTTACCACGGACTCTTAAGCTAAGGAAATAACTAATCTTCGGTGGCCATTTTCTCACTAATTTTACCTCTGAAAACGACTGAACCCCACCTCCTTCTTTTGCAAATATCTCGACTTGTATTCAAGATAAATGGATATTTTTTTCATCAAAATAAAGACAAGTGAACAAGCTTTAAGATGATACCAATAAGTCTACATGTCCAAAAATTGACGAGAGCCTGATTCCACCACGCTGCCTCAATTACTAAGCCCACAAAGTAAAATTTTCTGCAGAAAAAACAACTTTTCTTTCTTTCAACAATATTATTGTAGGCCTGCTTACATTACATAATTAAAAAATGTTTTTGGTTGCTTTTGTCAACATTTAGAATTTTGATTTCTACTGAATATTTCTTAAGCGCATGCAGCCAATAACGCAAATTAAGAAACTGCAGTTTTTAAGAAATTGAATTTCGGACTTCATGGATCTGAACAGCTGGCTGACATTCCCTTTTTCTGTACATGAAGTACTTCCACATGTTGTTCCAGTACCTTTAAATGTTTTGCCACTGAACATTCTTTTGAAGTGAGCTGTGGGCACAGTGTGATGTGATCTCATTTGGTAGGCCTCTATTATGCTGGGCTGTGGGGCAGATGACCAAGGTTCATATCGTCACAATGGAGCATTTTTTAACTTAGGTTGTTTCGGGAGTCTTTAAGTGTCCGTCTTCTTAGTGCTCTTCATTCAGAGACTGATGTCACTTTCTATGGTTTGTACTTCTTAAATAACCTAACAATATAGAAGAGGATCGTCAAAACCAATACAGTTTTAATTGTGGTGTTGAGTGACGCATATATTGGAGAGTGTCGATAAAGAAAGCTCTGTTTGGATACAAAATTCACATTCCCCTTTTTACGTTTGTTCCCTCTGTGCTATTGGTGAGTATGGAATTATCCATTTGATTGTTCTTTGAGAGTGCTGAATGGTATATCTTTTGAGATATTGATATTATGATTTAGTTTTCCTTATTTGCTGACGTTATAATTGTCTTCTAAAATAAAACTTGACTTTTCTTCCTATCAGTATCAGGTGTATACTCTGATAAATCCCTGTAACTGCTCATCCTGCTGTCCTGTCCACATATAGTTGTATAACACGGATAGCTTTGAATTCGTTGGGACAGGTCTCGGTATTTTGAGGGATCCATAGTTTGAGGGATACCTTACAAAGATAAAGAAGGAAAAACAAAAAAGGACCGCAGGCTCAGTTCAATGACCGATCCGTGTTATACTGTACCAGTATAAAGTTGTATAAGTACGTGTCCAAAAGCACTGATTCTGTCATCGTTAGTGTCTATGTCTTTAGATCTCACTTTTATACCATCATTATATGGGTGCTTTGTTATAAGTTTATAAAGTTTTCTGGATTTTCCTTAGTTTTGTTCTTTTTAAAAACTCTACACTATTCTCTGGGCTCTATGTACGCAAGTCTAAGTGTGAACTTGTAGTAAGATTAATTAATTAATAATGCTCAAGAGCAAAGTTAAACCCCCCCTTCTCTCTCTCTCTCTCTCTCTCTCTCTCTCTCTCTCTCTCTCTCTCTGTCTCGCTGTCTCGCTGTCTCTCTTTCTCCCTCTTTCCCTAACTCTCTAATCTTTCTTTATGGCCCTATGTTTGATTTTGTTTTGTTTTTAGAGCACTTAATATTTTCCGCTTAGAAACAGATAATGTTGCTAGTTTATCTCATGTTTTTTTTCTCCTGACTGGAGTGTTAAGCTGTTCACAGACAGAAATTGTGTTTTTCAAATAAATTTATCTCCAAATGTGTATGTAATCTAAAAACACTCAAGAAGTTGTAGTGTAATGAAATTGAATTTATTACTGAATGGAGAGTGATGCAAAGATTTTTCAAACGAAAATGATGAAGAATTTGGTGCTTTAAACAGGAGTAGTGGGTTTTTTTTACTACCTAATGTGTACAAAAAATGAACCGGTTCTTCTTTTTTGTCTGATTTGTTTTTTGTCATGTATGTTGAATTACCTGAATAATATCTTTCAGAAATCATTTAAAAGATGAAGATGAACAAAAAAGATGAAGAATTTGGTTCTATAAACAGGAGTAGTGTTGTTTTACAACCTAATGTGTACAAAAACTGAACCGGTCTTCTTACTGTAGAAGAGCAGAGTTGAAAAATTATTGATTATTATTATTTCATGATCCATCTTTTTAATTAAAAGAAAATTGAATGTTTAGTACACTACCTTAGAGAGATACAAGGATCCAAATATAGGAAAGAAATAGATGAGGAGGTTTTATTTGTTATGTGTCATCTTTCTGTCTAATAGATGGTGCTTGCTAATAATAATAATAGTCTGGTATTTTAATTGACACACCTCTGCTAAATAATGTGTCGAGATTGTGTTTAGAAAATAGCATTCATTCTCTTTCATGTGCAATAAAATGTCACCGGTTCTTCTTTTTTTTTCTGATTTGTATTTTGTCATAGTCATATGTTGAATTACATGAATAATATCTTTCAGAAATAATTTGATTGTTATTGCTATTATTTATTAAATTTTATGTCATGTGGACACTGCAGTGTCCTGTTGGTCCTGTTGCTTTTCAATGCAGAGGTCTGCCAATGAAATAAAATTGGGTTGTTTTTTGTTTTTTAATGAGAATTTTATCTGTTTCTTTTTTTAAAGTCTTCATTGTACACTTTTGTATTCAAATCCCTCTGTTATTAGTTATGTCTGCATGTATGAAATGAGTGTGTTCAGTTGGAAGGCGTCACTGGTTGGTCCTTCTTTTTTTCTTTTCTTCTATTAGTTCTGTGTGTTTTATCTTGATTTTTCCCCTGAACCAAATAGCAGTTATTGTGTCTGTCTGTTTTGAGCGGTCATTTTGAAAAAAAAAATGCGCGGTAAACGTTCAATTAGGCCTATTATGAATACGAAAATATGCCATATTTGTTTTTAACGAAAGAAGATTCATTGTTGAAAATTTTACAGAGTAATTTTGCTTTGACTTGTATACAAAAAGGAAAAAATATTGATCAACACAAGCTGAATGGACATTTTAGAGGGACTATCTCTACACCACCGATTTGGAGGGGGAGAATAAAAAACTTAAGTTACAACTACAGTGTTAAAGTACTGTAATTATGACAAACTTGGCCTGTGACAAACTAGGCAGTAACCGTCATAATGGATATACAGTGGAATCCTGTTATAACGAGTGGGAGGGGACCGGTGCGAAATGTCCGTTATAGCAGGATTCTCGTTACAAGGGATCCAGTAATAAATTCAAGGGAAATAGTAAAGTAGGCCTAATCTATGATTTGGCGTTCTGTTCATTCCTTTTTTGTATTTCCCCTGATGATGATTTGTTCAACACGATCTCAAGGTCTTACTTGATCAAAAATCGAATCAGGTTTCTTTCTCTAGTACTAGCAATGTTGACAAATCGGCCTTGGCAATCAGAAAGAAGGGGCTCTGGCTCTAGGCTAACTCGCCCGCAGTGTTGTCCCCCACCCCACCACACACTGTGGCGCGTTGCGTCTGCTCGCGCACGTCATACATTCACTCCATCCATCTATCACAGCATTGTGACCTCTCCATCCCGCACCAGAGAAGTGAGAGGCACGGTAGATTCTATGCCTAGATAATCTAGACTGGGCTGGTCTATCACGCGATGTGTTCTGCTTGTGTCTGCACATGCCACACCCTCCCCACTCATTCACTCCAGCCTTCATTGTTGGTTCGCATGGGCTCTCCCATTCCTTGTTTCGCTGGATCACCGACAACTTTTTCAACTAAACTGGCAAGGTTTTATAGGTTTGATTGGTCTGTGCGCTGTGCACAGCAGCAGCAATATTCCGTTATAAACGACTCGCGTGACGGTCTGATTGCACAATAGCAGTATAATTTTATTTACA